TCCACCACTGCACCTACTATGACAACAACATCCATTGTTATGAGCACTACATCACCTCGACCACGTGACCTGTCGCCACCTAGCGTGCCTACATCATCTGAGTTAACCATAATAGGTAATGACAAAGGTATTAATCTTCTACCTCCACATGAGTATGATGAATGCCTTGTTAATTTAAATGCACCATGCGATGAGCTACCTACTACTTTGATCACAGCGACTATTTTAGAGGACTATGTTGATGATTTGACTTTGCCATGTGATCAAACAATTTTGAGTGAACCCATTGAATTAACTATTGATGCAAAAGAACCATGTGAATCAGGGAATAACTCAAATTTGGATCAAATATGCTTGAAAATAATTGTGCCAATGTTTAATCATTTTGATATAACCTCTAATCTTGGTGATGGTTCATCAATGTTGGGATGGTTTAATGATAAGCATTGTCAATCTTTTGATATGAATAAGAGCTTCACTTATATGTGCAAACTGGGTTGCAATATTTTCATGCCTTTGACTTCTTATGATAATATATTGGCTTTATATTTCACGACTTTTGAAGGGTGACAATGTCACATGCGCCCCAACCGAGATCACTAAAAATGGAAGACATATGCATATACAACGTGTACACCTTGTCTCTTTTGTTAGCCACATTTCAGACTAAGCAACACCGAGGACGGCTTTGTTTTTAAGAAGGAGAGGATGATGAGGACATGGCTACTGCAGTTACACCCATATCCCCTGCTGTTTTACCTCATGGAACAATTGCTAGAGCTCGCATACGCCAATTAAATTATCAGGTACTTTCGTTTCTTGATAATGTTTCTAGTATTCATGAGAATATGATGCTGCCTAACTTAGATACATTTGTGTCGCTTGCAATTGAAGGGCCTAGCACTGACAAGAAGGATGAACATTGGAGCATCGTCAATCACTGAGATGTAGGTGCGTGCCAAGAGAACAAGAACAGAGGTTCAAGTGGGGATTTCCGGACTTTGAAGCCACCATGATGACATACAAGAAGATGGACGAAATATACAAGATGGCCTTTCATAAATTTTTTTCATAGTTTATTATTGGTGTTGCGCAACCTTATCTTGGGCCAGGCCCATGTAATATATTTTTAGAGTCCATATTGTAGGAGAAATGACTTAGGAGGTGTTTTAGTCCCACCTTGCCTAGGGTGGACCAAACCCCCTCTCTTTTCCCTATAAATATAGCCCTTAAGGCATCATTTAGACTTGGGTTTTGTTTAGATTAAAGTTCGCCATAGCTGCAACTTCGCGTACTTCGTTTGCGTTCAACGACCAGACAAATGCGTCACAGAATCCCACCTTGATCAATAAAGCTTTCCTCTTGTATTCGCAATATCCAGATTGTAATCTTAGTTTCTTACTTGTTCTTCGTTTGCCTGCAGTAAACAGACCTTCATGGTCAGGTTGATCGTGCTCCGGCGTGGTCAATAACCTCTCGGAGTTGGTTTAGCGATTGCTAAGGCACGACGTCCTCGCACCTTCATAGTCGGATCGTCAAAGTTGACTTTCTCCAAAACGATAGCCACCATCTCATCGAAAGACGGGACACCTTTGCCTCAATCACCGTGCACATAAGATAAAGTAGCGCGAGAATGATGGTTGGGGCAAGATTTATAGTCGAGCCCCCGGTCTATTAGCCGATCGCATCTAGAAAAGCACGTGTCATACTAGTTTATTTTGGCATAATAAGCGGAAAGAGGTATTGCCACACAAAACGACTGGAGTATGACCATAAAAATGGTCTTTATTTTCGTTGATTTCGTTACGTATAATCATACAACTCGAACTACCGAAGCAACTGTTGTAGATACTTTGAAAATAAACTTATTAGAGGAAAGGTTTACACAGGGCCTCGATGAGTGGTTTGGCCAACAAAATACAATTTATATATTACAAATAATATAACATAATAAATTTTAGATGTTGTATTTTCTAATGGTATATTTTTTATCTATATAAGTTGTATTTTCGTGCCCAAATTGGCGACCTAGAAATATGCATATGACTTATAAACCGAGACGGAGGGTATGATTTTCAATGTAATTTTATTTTTCCTAGGTTGTTTTATGTCTAGCGGACCTTGTTTTGCTCGATTTTAATCAGATGCAAGATGCCTTTAGACTGTCTTTATATTAAAATAAAACAGAATAGATAAATCCCGAACATTCGATTTTTAAGCATGTCATCCCGAACTCTTTTCATGGCAACTTTAGTTAAGGCGATGTTGACAAACATGATAATTTTCTGATAAAAAATTGAAATGGAACAAAGTTACCATGTGTTAACAACTAAAATTGCAATCTCACAGCAACTAAAGTTGCCATCAAAAAAGTTCGGGATCACATGCTTAAATTCCGAAACGTTCGGAACTTATTAAGGTCTAAATAAAAAAACCGAAAAAGTATAATCAATTGCTTAACGGTGAGCAAAAACGACGGAACATTCGAGAAGAAGGCGTCTGCGATCAACCAGCAGCAGCAGGCGGCCGGAGACGAGCGTCGTGACGTCTTGGTCTAGCGGTCCGCGGTCGGTGCGTGGAACATGACACCCCTGACCCTGAGGGTACCCCAGTCATTCCACGCCAAATTCAGTTCTATAAATGCGCCCCCACCTGTCCCATCAATAATCTCTCTCACCACAAGGACAACAGAAAACCTTATTCACACGCGCACGCACCAAAATCACCTTCAATCTCATCACCGCGGAAGGGGATGGCCGCCGCCGAGGAGGGAGCCGTGATAGCGTGCCACACCAAGCAAGAGTTCGACACCCGGCAAGCTGGTACGCGAATGCGATTCCCGATCCCAGTCCCAATCCTCCTCCGTCTCCCTTTTTTTCCGTATTTTTTTATGTGTTTGTGGGGTCTAGGTCATCTCCGGTTCGTCGTAGCACTAACGCGATGTTGGGAAACTTGACATCAATCTGTGCGGGCGTGCGGCGGAATTGTGTTTTGGACGATTAGGGTGGATGATTTTCCGACTTGTTCAGATCTCATACGTTTACTAGCAAATCCTAGTTTTCGTCTCATAGGTCGCCCAATTCGGAACCTGGATTGCACAGCCCCGATCTGTAGCTTAGTATTACTACTAATGTTTATCTCTGTGTGATGCCCCTAAGCTGCATGATTTTAGTGAATGGCTGATGAGAGAGGGAGAGGGAGAGGGAGTTGGAACCTTTGGTTAACTGTCAGGTGTTACGTATGGTTGATCTTAATCTCTGGTTAATTTGTTCAGGATTATCAGGTGAGGGTTGATATCCTAATTTGGTCAAAAATTGTTCATTCAACTTTTGAGAGGATTGAGATCTTGATATCCTAATTTGGTTAAAAACTCTGAACATGTTGCCTGTTGATTTTGCAATGTGTAAATGGTACAGCTTACTGTACTTGAAATCACCCTTAGTTATCCTAAGGCCCTGTTCGGAGACCCGCCACTCCACCACTCTGCTCCCGGAACTGGAGTCAAAAGGCACGGAGCTGGGAAAGAGATGCTCTAGCTCCTCGTATTTTTAGGAGTTGGAGTGACTCCGAACAGGGCCTAAGGTGCGTGATTTTAGTGATTTGGCCATGGGTGGTACTTTTGGTTAATATTTGTTCAGGATTACCAGGAGGGTTGATGCCTTAATTATGCATTCAACTTTTGACTTTGTCATAACTTACTGGAGAATTGAGATCTTGATATCCTAATTTGGTTAAAAACCTTGGAACAGATTGAAGCAATGTGTAAAGGTGCAGCTTACTGTACTTGAAATCACCGTTAGTTATCTTTTTGAGCACACATGCTTTCAAGGCGAACTGACATATATTTTGGCATTATTTGGAGGTGATGTTGAAACTGCTTGAAATTCGGGTGTGTTGTAGGCTTACTTAGATAAAATTTGGCAACGTTTGGAGCCAATGTTGAAATATTGTGAAATTCAGGTCTTTCTTAACGTAAACTGTGATAATGTGTTGAAACGGGGAGTCAGGTCTGTTGAGTCAACCCTGAACATTTTCTGTTGGGGGTTGCCACAGAATCTGGCTCTGCCAGTTACCATATTCAAACAATTGTTTTAATTCAAAACTGTGATGAACATAATACCTTTCCAGTTTCATTATGGCAAATATTGATCCCGCTTCTTTCTTCTTAGCTAACTATCATGTTTCTTATAACCACCCGAAAAGATAAAGTGGCATCCCCCCCCCCC